AATATTATAGGCTATTTCAAGCAAATGAGGATGAAGGGGTGGTCTTCCAAGCTACAGAAGGAATGGTCTGGTGGTTAGTCAGTTTATTAGCCCTATCCACAGTCAAAAATGGGGACCTTCTTGCTGGTCTGGCCATTCCTGGACCGAAATCCCTCCATGGCTTCCACAATATTCATGCCCTCGCTTACCTTGCCAAAGACCACCTGCTTTCCATCCAGACACTCAGTCTTGGTAGATGAAAACCTGGGAACCATTTGTGTTGGGTCCTGCAATTTCCATAGACATGATGCCGCTACCTATATGCTTCAGAATGAAATTCTCATCATCAAATTTCTCCTGTTAGATGGAATTACTGCCAGTGCCATTAGAGTGTGACATCACCACCCTGGCACATAAATCCTGGACTAATTCCGTGAAAGCAGGAAACTTTATAACCAAATCCTTTCTCCCCAGTGCTCAGAGCATGGAAGTTTTCTGCTGCCTTTGGAACTTTGCCTGCAGACAGCTTGAAGGAGACACTGCCCAAGGGCTTGCCCTCAATAGTGATGTCCAAGAACACAGTGGGGTCCACTGACGTCTGCAAGGTGGCCTGGTTATTTCCCTCTACATTTATCACTTGACATTCTTTTGTGCAGAAGGCCTTCTCCCACCAGATTTTTAGTATTCTATGGACTCATGGATTAATATTATTACTATTACTATTATTAGTCAATGTGTTATCCATTGCTTTTATTCATCTCAATGCTCAAATTATCCCCATGGGGCCAGTGAAATGCAGCTACTCCTGTTGTGTCTCCATTGTTTTTTAAGCACTTTCTTATTTTCTATAGCAACTCTCCTTACCCCAGATGTGAATGTGACCATCTTTCCAAGAAGCTTTAGCTCCTTTAAGTAGTAGTGTTTAGAGAGCAAGATCTGAGTGATAAGTGCGTTTACCATTATTGGAGTGACTTTGCTTTGACGCCCTTTCAGTGAACACAGTTGTACACTGGAACATGAGATTGGGGGGAAAAAAATGTAACTGTGTGCATGTGTGCAGGGTCGTGTGTGCCTGTGTGTCTAAATAATCAGTTCAGGGCCTCCCCAGTAGCCCAGCAGGTTGAGCACAGCGCTGTGAAACTGTCCGCAGCCTCTGCAGTGCGGGTTCGATCCTGGCCAGCTGGTGAGAATCCCACATGGCACGCAGACCTCTCCTGTCTCGCCCGCTGCTCCCCTCAGCAGTGTATTTCGGTTGTCTGCCTGTTCTGCTCCCGGCTCTGTCTCTGGTAAATCCTCTCACCCTCCCGTGCCCCAGCTCTTGTGTAAAAATAAATTTTTAAAACTAAATAAATAAATCATCAGTTCACATTGATACTTCTAATTCATTTGTCTTTTACCCTACTCCCTATTTGTATCTCCTACGCACATGGTGAGAATCTTGGTTTCCAATATCAGTATAATTACTTATTTATTCTATACTACACCCAATATACCCTTCTGAGTTGGTGTTAGTAACACTTTCAATTATTACTCTGTGTACTTCAGGATGATAATCTGAAAAACATTTATTCTGTTAAATAATTATTGAATTCAGCAAATTCCTTTCATTGTCAGTCCATAATTAAAAGTAACTGAGATGTCAGCTGGTATAGCCTTGCCCTTAGGGCCAGATCTAATCCAATACCTGTGTGCATGGCCAAAGCAGATACTTCTTCCAGCTCCTGGTGGTTTCCTTCCCCAGGTCTGACCTGACACACTGCACCCCGACAGGAGACTCACACTCACCACCACCCTGTCCCTGGATAATCCACATCTGCAGAGATTTCATGAGCCAGACATACTTTGCTGACAACTTCCCAGCACAGATGGTGGAGGGGACAGGCAGAGCGACACGTCAACAGCTTTCACAAGAACAGCAGACACGGCCACTCAAAAGAGCCTTTGACCTTCCATCTCATTGAGTTAGTTTCTTTACCACCATTTCTCCCTCTTCTTCCTTCTCTCTCCTCTCCTTTTAGAATCAAAAAGCACAATTTTTCCTCCCAACAAGTAAACCAACCTCCTCCTCTGAAGCTTTGCTCAAGAACAAAGACAGCCTTCTTCCTACGAGAAATTACAGTGAATAAAATTTCCTCCGCCTCATTACATATACAAGGACTGGAATCTTTGTAAAACCTGGTCAGTTATAAATTGCAAGCCAGTAGCTGCAAAACTCCCTTGAGATGAGTCTGTCCACTGACTCAGCTGATGCCCCTCAGAACCGGTCACCAGATAGCTCAAGTTACCCAGAACCTTTCCACCTTGGGAAGTTCTGGCTTCCAGAACCACCTTGAGAACTGTACTCTCCTTCCACCCCCACAAGCACACAAACCCCCACAAGTCCGGATCTCCATGGACTGGTCAGTCACTGCCCACATGCCCTCCCAGGACACCAGCCAAAGGCCTTGGAGAGGACAGCATTTTGTTGACATGAGCCATGGACTGTGGACTGAGCCCAACAGGAGGGGGTGCCTGGTCCTCCTGGTAGCATCGGTTCATGGGGGAGAGGTTCAGGGAGATCTTCTTTCCTTTCCATGCTTCTAATTTCTCAATGATTCCAAGAAAATGTATTTTCTAAGCAAGCTGCCTGGACTTGAACTAGAGAAGGCCTGAAGGCCTGCCCCTGAAGGCCCGGAGTATTTAGGTCTTAGGAGATCTTCTATAGGTGGAAGCTTTCTGAAAGGCCATTGCATAGTGCCAGAAGTAGTCCCCAACCAGGGTGCCAGGGAGAGAAGGTGTGTAGATCTCTCTGGGAAGCTTGTCAGAGTCTTTGAATGTCCTTGAATTAGGGGACAGAATATGAAATTTAAAGAATATTCTAAAATTACTGTTGCATTATTTTCATGTCACTAAACAGTGCTTGATAATTCAATTACTGATAGGAGAAACAGGCCAAAAATGGCTTAGTAATGTATAAGAATACTGAGGCCTTTCAAAATGCAAAAGTTGAAAAGAGAATCTGAGGTCCTAGAGGAGAGTAGCAAAATGAAACAGTGTGGGGATGAGAGGAAGGTGGGTGGAGTCCCCAGCACAGGCAAGTGCCACTCTGTAGCTGACCATCCACCCCCAAAGCCCCTGCCTACTTTTGGTAACCTGAGGATCACTGAAATTTCTCCCGGTCTCCCAAGGCTCCCTCCACCATCTTTCCACAAGTCTCAAAGACAATGACTAGCACCTCCATGCTTTGAGTTAAGCACTGGCCTGTTTTCTACTCCAGCAAGCAGGGGGCATTTATGTCAGGATTTATGTCACACTGTGCCTGGTTTTGCGCCATTCTGAACTTTTTAGGAAGACATAACCTAGACTAATTAAGTAGTTCTCTAGATTGGTGCTTTTCCACGTTTTTACGTGATCGCATAGATGACAGTACTCCTTAGGAGAATCCAGTCAGAACCCAGAAGTACAGCAGCCTTGCCCATAAGAGGTCCAGAGGGCAGGTAAGACCAGCCAGTAAAATATCTGAGCCCTCTCGCTTTCCTGCAGGAGGAAACCATGTAGGAGGTAATTTCCACATTTCACAGTACTACTTCTCCAGGAACAATGGTTCTAGGCCCAGATGCCCAGTTGACCTTGTGCTTCTTTCCTTCGTGGTTTTCTTCTCCCAAAGCTGGTCGACTCTGGAGCCGAAGCAAGCCAATGCTCAGCACCAGAGATGTGAGTAGAGGGGAGCCCAGAGCAAGGCTTGGGCCTTCTGCTAGCTGAGGAGCTTTGGGAGCGTTCCCTAATCTCAAGTTACCTAAATAGGAAGGCAAACCATCTAAGAATAAGGGCTCTGGAAACAAGCCTTCCTGGGTTCATTCCTGGCTCCCTGACTGGCCAGAACCATGTGCATGAACCATAACTTCTGTTTCCTCTTCTGTAAAATGGAACATGTAATAGCATCCACCTCAGAAGGTTGCTAGGAGTTAGTCTGATGAGCTAATCCTGTAGAATGCTCACAACACTGCCTTGCTCAATGTTAGTGCTTGTGAAGATTTGCTGTGTTATACATGCATACTTGCCATGTTTGTAAATGCATATACAAAAGATATAAAGGCACATTACCTGGGACTGCTGAAATAAGTTGGACAATACATTGAAGCATGTGGGTGGGAGTGTAAAATGCACTACCTCTCTGAACAACAGCTGGCAGTTGCCCATGAATTTAAACATACTTACCACTCTTACCATGTGAGCCAGCGATCTTATTCCTAGTTATTTACTCAAGAGAAATGAAAACACACATCTATAGAGAGGAAGTTTCATTTGTAATAGTTCCAAACAAGTGTTCAAGAACAAGTGGATGTGGATAAACAAGTTCTGGAACATCCTTTCAATGGGCTCCTACTCAGCAGTAAGGAGTGTGAACCACTGGTACATGCAACAACATGAATTGACCGCACAACCAGGAGGCTCAGGGAAAGAAGCCAGAGACACAGGCTACCAGCATAGGATTCCACTTACATGGCATTCTAGAAACAGTAGGGACAGAAAACAGATGAGTGGTGCCAGGGGCTGGCCAGGGGGTGAGGAAGACTGGATTCTCCTAAGAGGCACAAGGGAACACTTTAGGGTGATGAAAATGCTTTCCATCTTCATTGTGGTAGTGGGTACATGATTCAATATTTTCATCAAAACTCATAGGCTGGTACATATAAGAGGCAAGTTATACTTTAATAAGTCTAATATTACCTGTGATAGGAGGGAACAGGTAGGGAGAATATGTAAAAGATACTTTTTTGTTCTACTTCAGTATGTCTGTACCATGTGAACTTTTGCAATGAGCATACACTTCATGTACTTGGTAATAATTTTACTAATGTTTGAATTAATAACAATGATGATATCTATCTACCTTGAAGGGATGTTGTGAGATCCAAATCAAATGAGAGAAGATGTATACAGCATACACACAGATGACCCCCGATCTTCTCAGGGACAAGGTATCTTCTCAGGGACAAGGCCCCACGGGGCCGCCACAGAGAACGACAGCCATGACTCACCTCAGTGACAAAGAGCGTGCGGGGGTCGATGATATCCAGGAAGTGCCTGAAGCGGCCATAGAAGGATGTCTGGAGAAGGGGTGGGAGAGGAAAGTAGATCAGCTGCCATGCTCCACGCTCCAGACACTGGGAGGGCCCACCCAGGAGGGCCCACCCCACACCCCATCCTTAGTATTAGGGTCCCACCATCCCCCAGGACTCCCACATGGAGGACAAATGCTAAGAAGCCCCACTGCTCAGGGACCTCGGGCCTCTGAAAGACCATCAAGATAGCAGTGGCTAGCCCATGTTCTCTTCAAGGTACCTCCCATCTTTTCCCTCTCCCCAAAATTCCCCAAGGTCCACACCCAGCAGTTCCAAGCACCCTAAACACATAGTCCTGGTCCCCGCCCTCTTCCAGCCTCCCCTCACCCTCCTGCCTTGATCAGGAGCTCTGAGTTCAGATTCTGCCCCCCAGGGAAAGCACCCATAGACAGAATTGCATGCCAGAGCCTAGTTGGGAGCCCTCAGGCCCTCCTTCCCTGTAGCCCCAGAACTGCTGTGAGCCCCAGGACAAGGGGCCAGCTCCCCCACCCCACCCGCTGCCCTGGACTTGCCCCAGAGCAGGGGCCCAGGAAAAGGAGGCTTTGTGTTAAGCAGGCCACAGGCATTAGAGCACGATGAAAGGAAACCGAGCAACGCAGAGGCCTGCTGCCCCTGGGACAAAGCCAGCTTGGCAAAGCCAAGCCCAAGGGATGGAGGGAGGTTGCAAAGCTAGGGGACAAAGAGGAATGCTGCAAACACTGGGGGTTCATGCCTCACTACACTCCAGGTTCTTCCCCCAAATCCTCCCTGGAGCCCCACAGCTCTGCAAGCACCATCCTCAGAACAGTGGAGGTAACAGAAGCTTACACACTCCCTTCCCTTACTACTAGGACACCCCAGACCCTGCAGCCAATTTCTGCTTCTTTCTCTTCCCAATGAAGACCAGGAGAGCAACGCCCCCCCCCAGCCCCCACATCGCTTCTAAGTCCTCTGCACACATGGCCCACGCCGCCTTTATCTCTCTGCTCCTTTGCCTGCCCCCTAACATTAAGGATAGGCTGGCTCTCACCCTGCTCCCACCCCCTTCAAGTACTGCCTTTCACAGACCAAATTTATCTTCAGCCCCATTCCTAAATAACATAGCTGTTTCTCTAGCATCTTAGTACTCAAACACCTAGACTATTTCCTCACTCATACATGACATGCACACTGCTGTCCGGCAAAGTCTCATTTCTAAGAACCATCAGAGATGTGCAGACGTGTGGTTGGAGATCCAGGCTGAGGATGCATTCTCACACAGGTGTGTGGCTCAATGAGGGACAGTCCATTCACATGGCCCAACACGATCCAGCTACTTTAACTCATGTTTCAATATTTATGACATGTTATGATTTTGTGAAATGCATATAAATAGGATGATTCCAACTTAATAGACAAGGAGATAAATATAGCTAAGTGGACACTAAGTGGACAGTAAAGAGATAAATGACATCCAGATCCTGGTTCACTGAAATGAACTGGGGTTCCTTGGAGAAGCAGCTGATCCTAGAACTAGGACAGGGAAGCGCAAGATGAGACCAGTCCATTTTGTTGTGGCAGAAAGTAATGAAATTCCCTTCCAAAATGATGGAGACGTGTTAAAAGAACCAATGAAGGGCAGATGGAAATGTGTGCCTCTGAACATGACACCCAAGAAGTTCACAATCTCACTCACATAGTGTTCTAGAGGGACTGCATCGAGTCATGAGGAAATGTCAGACCCAGACTGAAGAACATTCTACACATTAACTGGTCTTGTTCACCAAATATGTCAATGCTATAATGACAAAGATGGAGGAACCGCTTCATATTAAAGGAATCCACAGAGACTAGACAACTAAATATATCATGTGAATCTGGATTGAATCCTAGACTATCATAAAAATGGCCTCGAGGATATTACTGAGACAACCAACAAAACTGGAATATGGATCGGAGATTAATAAAAGTACTATACTCATTAAATTCCCTGAATACAAAAACCATACTGTGGTTATTGCTATATGCTAAATATTTGTGGTCCCCCCAAAATTCACATGTAAAATCCCAATGTCCAATGTGATGGGTTTTAGGTGGGGTGGGGTCTTTGGGAGGTGATTAGTTAGCTGTGCGGGCAGAGTCTGCCCGATGGAATCAGTGCCTTTATAAAAGATGAGTGCCCCAGAAAACTCCCTGACCCTTCCACCATGTAAGAACATAGCAAGAAGATGGTGTCAATGACCCAGAATAGGGTTCTCACCAGACACCTTATCTTAGGCTTTCCAGTCTCCAGAACTAAAAGAAATTAGTTTCTGTTGTTTATAGGCTACTAGGTCTATGGTATTGTTGTTATCCTGAAGAGATTAAAACAAAAATGTAACAGAACATCTTTGTCTTTAAGATATACTGATGTATTAAAGGATTAATAATATAACCTACTTGCAAATGGTTGAGAAAAAATACCATGTATAAATATATAGCGTGGCAATAACCTGGAAATATAGCTATTCTTATTTTATTTACAGATTGAAGATGTCCCTGATAATACTATGTTTTATATTTGCACTTTTTCTGGACTTTATGATACCTATAGACAGAATAATAAGGATTATGTGACAAAATTGAAAATTTAAGGCAAAGTATATGTGGAAATTCTCTGTATTCTTCTTACAATTTTCCTGCAAGACATTTCTAAAATTAAATGTTCAAAATTATATTTTTTATAAATCTGGATGAAAATATATTACAATATCAACAGAGATTAATTCTGGGTGATAGACATATAGGTGATTTTTATTTCAATATCCTATACATTTCTTTTTAAATTAAACTCAGCATTTCGTATAATACACAGGAATAATAATCTGTTTGACTTAAATATATTTAAATTAAAATACAAACTGGTGTATTAGCTGGTCAGAGTTCCTGAAGGACACACCTCTGGAAGGGGCTTCACAAACTGCCCCTGGAATGAAGGAGAAGGTGGGTGGGCACTACCAGCCTAGATGTTTCCCAGAGCCTGCGCTGGGCTGAAGAGAGGGTAGAGTTTGAAAGGGGAAAGAAGATGGTAGTTAGGCCAAGGAAGAAAGAGGACCCACAGGGGCAGAGGACCTGGGAAGAGAATAGGCAGAGGGAAGCAACTTCTTGAAGATGGTACATGGCAACTTTAGCTGACTGTCCTGTGTTCTGGAACTGCTTTAATCCTCAGCCCTGTCAAGCCTCTAGGGTCACTCTCCACCACTGCCACTTGTCCTGGGTAAAACATTTTGCTCCATAAATATGTCCAAGCCTCTACTGAGCTATGCTCAGGGGGCATCACAAGCCCTCAAGGAGCTGAGTTCATCCAGAGACAAATAGTAAACGAATACCTCTAACACAGCATGATCACTGCTCCATGAGCAGTGGGATGCAGATTGTTTCTTCCCAGTGGGTCAAAGAGGCTTCCAGAAGAGCAGGGATGGGTGGATGGACGAGTTTCCTTAGCAGAGAAGGGTATCAACAGGAGACTTAAGGCAGGAAGATTGGAGCCAGAAACTGCCCCAGACTCCTGTGGTTTATTCATTCACCAAATAGCTATTAGAATCTCCACACCCAGAACATATCTAGGTCTTGGTGGAGAAAAGCCCACTAACTGGGGGAAAGAGAAAGCACAAAGAGTCATGGATAATGCTTAAGACTTCTAGCTGGACACTAATATTTATTAACCGGAATAAGGAAAACAAGAAGCACACTGGTTTAGAGGAGAGGAAGATAAAAGTTCTGTATTGGTCATGTAAGGGTGATATACTTAAAGAGTCTTCCAGATACAGCATTTCAATAAACACTTGGAGCTACAGGCCCGAGATTCAAGAAAGGGGCTTTGAAGACTCTAAGCACAGATGGTCGTGTCCTGGTCCAAGCAGCCTAACACCCCCAGGAATAAGCCTGCAGCCTGACCAAGTTGGGTCCACTGACAGTCTGCCATGAGGAGGCCGCACAGCAGATGAAGTCTGGGGTGCTTTGTAACCAAAGGAGAAAAACTAAGTGTACAGTACTGGGAGAGTGGAATAAAGTTTAAATGAACTGGTGCAGTAATAGGCCCAAAGCAAAGTGAAGCTATGAGGAAAGACCACACAGAGCTGTGCTGAGAAGTGGATTCAGCGTCTTGTTTCCTTAAACTCTATAAAGTGAAGATAAATGTAGAGCATTGGGCCCAGACTCTCCTTTTCAGAATCTCTGCACTTGGGTTATTTCTGAGTCAGTGTGACTTAGACACACCAGTCCAGAGCTGGACGTTCCATTCCTGCCGACAGATTAGTTTCAGGCTCTGTGATCTTGGAGAATGCAATTTCTCAGGGAGTATGAAAGACTCCCAAAGAAGGGAGTCTTCTGATACTCTAGAGCTGAAGCAGGTCCTTTTGAGAAACATTGTTTCTTGGCAGCTGGCTTTATATATCTGTCCCACCAGGCCCAGGAATGGCAGGGAGGCTTTCAACTTTCTCTGGTTGAAATTTACTTTTCAACAATATGCTTTTTTTTCCCTCTCCAAAATTCAGCCCCCATCTTGACCCAATCAGTCAACCAGTAGATGTTTTCCTTCTCTTTTTTGTTACCGGAAGTATGAGTCAGCCACAATTCCGTCCCTTTCCCTGCACCAGAAAGGTGAGTCAGCTCGTCCTCCGCAGGGGCTGTGGGCCTGGAGCAGCAGGCTCCCCTCCCGCCTCCACGCCCTGGGGGAGAGCGGCCTTGAGCAAAGTCCTGAGGAGACACTGACCATCCTTCTGAAGCCAGATCTCTGAATCACTGTCCTTCTGAGTCAGGAATAAAATTGTCCCTTACCCCACAGCAGGAAGGCTGGACCAGCTGGGTAGTCCTCAACCAAGTTGCCCTTTGAATGAGCTGGGTATTCTAAAAAGCAGGCAATTATCCAGGGACTTGAATTCTATTGGTGTGAGGTGGGCTGGACTCCAAGCATTGGTGTCTCTTTAAAAAGCCTGTCCAACCTGCTCTAATGTGCAGCAAGGGCTGAGCGTCCCTGGACTAGAAGGTGTTGGCCTGGGCCAAGCACCAGCCAGCCCCAGGGAAACAGGCTCTCTCTAGCCTGGAGGATGTAAATGACTAAAACACATAACTACCTGCCAAGCACTTCATTTTAGAACTTTATTTCTGGCAAACTACATGAAAAACTTCCCCCGATGCCTCCCAACTCTCAGCCCACACAAACTTCTCAACCTTGAAGTGAAAAGCACATTTTCCTGCCCAGGAGGCTCAGATACCCCAGAGGGTGTGTGCAGCCCACATACTGCTGCTGCGCTAGGCAGTGCGGGGCAGAGGTTAGAAGCACACACTTCAAGTTTACGGGAAAAACAGGGGCAGGGGAACATGTTAAACAGAACCCTAGGGATGCTACCAGCCACATTCAGAATGGGGGGAAATCTACAAGGAGGAATCAATAGATTAGAAGAGACAAAAGACATACCTGTCAAATATAAAGTGTGTGTCTTCTGGTACACTGGTTACGTGACAATCGTGTGAATAGTGCCATGGACAGAATGTTTATATTCCGCCCCCCTCTCCCATTCATGTTGAATATGTTGAAATTCTAATCCCCAAGGGGAATATCATCATAGACATAGGGCTTTGGGAGGTGATAAGAAAAGAGGGCATTTCCCTCTGTGATGTTCTTCCCCCAGAACCCGTAACTTAGTCTAACCATAAGAAGGACACCAGACAAACCCACACTGAAGGACATTCTACAAAATATCTGACCAGTATTTCTCAAAACTATCAAGGTCATGAACAACAAGGGAAGTCTGAGAAACTGTCATAGACCAGAGAAGACTTAGGAAACGCGACAAGAAAATGTAACAGGGGACCTGGGAATAGAAAAAAAATAGTGTAAAAAACTGAGTGACTCCACTACAGTCTGGAGTGTAGTTCAGACCTCTTGGTTTTGACAAATGTATCATGTGCGATGCTCATTCCAAAATTTAAAAGTTTTTAAAAACTAACCCCAAAAGTCCTTTTTTCAAGAGATACTTACTAGCAGGTACAATGGAATGTTGGAATGTTTGTGCTTTTCTTTTAAATCATTTATTGGCTGTGGTGGGGGGGCATATAAAAACAAGACTGGCCTAAATTTGTAGCTGTTGCACCTAAGAGATGGGTACACAGGGGTTCACTGACAATTCTTACCAGTTCTATAAGTCTGAAAACCTCAGGAAGAAAAAAGTGGATAACAAACAAGCATGAACTCTGGAGCCAGACCGACTAGCAAGTTACATCTGTTGGTGTGTGGCAGCCTCACAGGATTGTGAAAGTTAAATAAGTCAATTCATCAAAAGGTTGGAACTACGCCTGGCTATCATCACTGTCTTAAGGGGAGAAAGATGGTCACAGACCAAAGCTCATCAAACAAATTATCTTTCTGTACTCTCTGTGCAGAAAGCACCCTCTGCTCAGTGGCCCCTGCTCACTTCCCTCCTGCACATGAAAGAAGAAAGGTTCTGGGGAGATTTCAGGGAGTCTCCCCTCCAAGGAGAGGAAAACCTTAGCACCAAGGTTTATAGAAAGCTGGGAGTCTGTTTGAGGCTGGTGTCCCTGGAGTGGGCTCTGGGAATGGTCCCTGGATTATGAACAACTCAGAAGCAGGCTGTTGTCAGGCCAGCACAGGGCACTGTGAGCAATCATTAGACACCAACATGTGCCAAGCATGAAGGGGAGGACGCAGAGCGAGATGTGGGCTGGGTCCTGGAGGAGCACATCAGGCCGGTACTTGCAAGACAGACCTTTTTGTCTTTAGATTTATCTCCTTAGTGATCTCCCTACACCGGTCTCTCAGGGCTGAAGAATCTTACATTGTCAAATGGGTGCCTACTTGGCTGAAATTTTACAAGACCTCAAAGAGACAGTTCAAAGAAATATTGTCCACCTCCCCTATCACAATCTTTCAGTCAGTTTAATTCAAATCCACAAAGACTGAAGTGTCTGCAGTATACTCAGTTATTCAACAAATCTTTATTAAGCACCTCCAGGCACAGTGCTGAGTCCTAGAGAGTGAAGGCAGGCAAAGGCCCTGCTGCCATGGAGTCTATGGATGAGAGCAAAGACAGATGGCAATAAAATAGTCACCCAGATCAATGTATTCATTGAGACAGGTGTTTTGCAGTAGAGAAGCACAGTCAAGAACTGGACCTGGGGGTGAGAGAGGGCTTTCCCAGGAATTGGTGCTTCAGAAACATCAGGGATGATCAGGAATAGGGACAAAGTTGGGGGAGGGGTTGGAGATGAATCTCCAGGCTGATGGTTAGCATCCATCGGGAACATGGTGGGTTCCAGGGGCTGAAAGCAGCCAGTGTGATGGCAAGGAGGGCTCAAAGGGGTGAGTGTGATTAGACTGTAGGGAGAAAAGTCAGCAGGGGTGGGTCATGCCAGCCTTCAGGGTTCTTTTAGAAACAAGATCTTGACCTCAGAAGCAGGGGAAACTGAAGAGTGTTTAAGTGTGAGGGGGAGTGGGTCGGGGTGGAGGAAGGAGTCACCTGATCAGACCTGCCTTGTCAGGACTCTGTGTGGTGGAAGAAAGGGGATTAGAAGGGGGCAGAGTGGAAGCAGGGAGACCTGTTTGGAGGCTTCCACAACAGCCAAGGAGATAGATGACTAAGCTTGGTGTAGGATTCCAGCAGAGACCAGTGGATTGGACAGCTGTTTAAGAGATGAGCACACAGGCCTCTGGTTGTGTTTTGAGAGTGAGGGAGAGGGAGGGATGTATGCAGATAACTCTCGGGTTTCTTGGGTGTCTGCTAGGTGGCAGGTTGGGCTGCCTGCACAGCCAGAGAGCTATGTGGGAGGAGCAATACTGGAGGAAGTTCCCTGATATAGACAAATCACCTGCACTGTGCTTTATGCAGGTCACTATGCTGGATGAGGGGTATTTAAAAAGCAAATACAAAAGCAAATATAGCAAACACCTTGACTGCCCTAGAGGGCAGTGCCAAAAAGAAACACCAAAACAGAGTGGCCCCAGTTGCCCGCTTATGCAGTGAGTGAGCACAGGAAAGTGTCCAATCATTGAAGTCACTCATAAGTCCTCAGTAAATGTCTGTTGTGTGACTGAATGACCCAGAACAAGTACCATTAAAGAACCAAACTACAAATCTTATGCAGCACATTACTATGAGCCTAGTCCCACCTCAGGGTAGGATGGAGACAAGGGAAAGAGCAAGATCAGACCCTTCTCTCAAAGGATGCACAGAGGGTTGAGGAGACCACATTCCCAAAGAGAGAACAGTCAGAAGGCCACAGGGCAGACTGTAAGTAAAGGCTGACCTATAAAGAGCCCACTTGAATGGTTTAAAAAGGAGGCAGCCATCAGGACCCCCAAAGGGTAATGTCACCGGGGAAGAAGAGAGGAAGCTTTCCCAAGGAGGTGGGCCTGACTGACCCTTGAAGGATGAGGAGAAGGTGAAGAGGGAGTGCCAGTGAAGAACCACTTCAGACACAGGCACCTCTGATAGTCTCCCTAATTGCAGGAGAAAGACAGTCTTGCCTCGAATACCTGCATACTAAGATGTTCTGTTTTTTAAAGGAATTTATGTCCTGTTTTTTACAAAGTGGGGACATTTTCTCAGAGGGCTCTGGAGCTCAGTGCCTGAATTATCAGCGAAGTTCAGTGCACCACTTAGCCAGAACCAGTGCCTCTCCCATCACAAACAATACACATAACAAAAATACATATGCCACCCGCCCCTCCCAAAATAAAACACCGCACGGACGGTGTTTTATTCCCTCCTTCCTTGAAAACTTCTGTCAGCCTCCATTGCCCCCCACCCCGGCCCAGTTCCCTTCAGCCGAGTTTCTGCCCTTTTCCTAAGTAAGTCCATTTTCTCCACAGCAGCCGCGAGGGCTGGAGGCGTGCAGCGGCCCGCGCGTGGGAACAGCCGCTCCCCGCATGGGGACTCGGGGCACGGCCGCGCACCCCGGAAGCGGGTTCAAGCCACCCCCGGGCTCAGCGGCCAAGAGCGAGTGAGTCAATGACGTCTGGTCTGGGGTCAAGTTCTCCGAAGAGTCGGGGCAGATCAGAGCCGCGCGCTCGGCGGCGCCAGGGACCCGGCACCCGAGACCCTCCGCCAGGATCGCGGCGGGGTGGGGCTGGCACGCGCGCCCGAGGGCGCGGACCTCCGAGCTGCCGGCGGCCTTAGGGGATGACACAGCGTTTCCTGTGCACCCCGACTCTACCCGCACATCCCGCTCTGTCCCCGGCGGGGTACCGGCCCGCCGACTCGCTGCGTCAGCGACCCCCATCCGAGAGGACGGGCAGCGTCCGGGCGCGGGCACCCTCGACGCGGGGTCCAGCCCACGCGCACTGCGGACGGGGCTTGGGGTGCAGGGCTGGCAGCGTGACTGCGGGGTGCAGGTGCTGCTCAGGGGTTCCGGCAGCAGCTCGGAAAGGACACAGGCCCCCACCCCTGGAAAAAGTTAGAATGCATCTTGGCCACACCAACTTCTCACCCAGGCCCGGACTCGGAACTTTGCTCCCTGAATGGGCGGCCACGCAGCCCAGAGCGACCCCGGAGAAGCCGCGCGGACCCGCGAGCCCGGAGCCCGGAGCCCGGGCCGCAGCCCGCAAGGGCCAATCACAGGGCGCCTCGGGCGGGAAAGGCTGGGGGGCGCGGGCGGCCGCGGAGTGATGGCCCTGGTGGCCAATAGGAGGCCAGGGTGGGAGTCCTCGCCCACCTCGCTGACCAATGGGAAAGGCACGGCTGGGGCCGCTGTCCCCGAGGCAGTGGCTGCGGGCTCCAGGGTGGCCGCGGGTCGGAGACCCTAAGATCTAAAGGGGGGTTTGTAGAGGAGTTTGCTCGTCCTCCCTTATGCCATCCGCCGACCCTCAGACCACAGCCCGGTCCTCACCTGCTGGAAGCGGGGTTTGCCCAGCTGGAAAGGAGGTGCATCCGTGGAGGCGTTAGCGGCACTAGCCGCCGCCGCTGATGCTGTGGTCGCTGTATCCGCCATGGCCACTGACGCCCGCAATCTACGGCCCTTTTAAAATGTCCCTCCTCGGCCCCCGCCACAGCTGCCTCTCCCGATTGGCCATAAGCAACCGCAGCGAGCCGGGGCCGCAAGGGATTGTGGGACGTGTAGTTTTTCGCGTCGCTCGGCTAGACACCTAGACTGCAGAGTTGCACCAACGGGTAGGGTCTCGGTTCCTGCCGCCAGTTCTGCAGGGGTGGACGGCCCCACGAGAGTGTTCGGGTATCTCTGATTACCTGCTCTTAAAAGTTTGACGGGCTCCTGGAGCCACAGCCCGGAAGAGCCCCACTCAAGCGGGTCTGATCTGGGACCAGATGGGCAAGGACTCCAGGCGGAGTAGGGTTAATCTCCAAAGATTTTCTGCAAGGAGTTGCACTGCGGAGTCATCATGCAGTTTCTTCTGTCGCCACTTTGTCCCTCGCCCTGACACAGTTCCTGGAATCCATTGAGGGCTCACCACCCCTGACCCTTGAACATTCTGTACCCAGAAGACCCTAACTTTTTGTCTTCCCCTGACGCTGGCTCTCTTTTTGGCTTTAGCCAAAGGCATTGCATGTCCCTACTTCTGCAAAATCCACTACAGGCTCCTTTCACACGCAGCACTTCTCTTTTGTAGCCCTTCATTTATAGTTCTATAGTTTTATCTGTCTTTTTTTCTGTAAAGTTTCACAAGGCAGGAGTTGTGACTTTTCTCATGCACCTAAGTCCTCGGTACCAGGCATAAGAGGGTTCATAGCAGGGACGCAAATATTTGTTGGCTGAGTTTAAGCAACAACCAGGGCCTCGGCAGCTAGCCTCCACTACTTTAGTCAACCAAGATCCTTCCTGGGCCTAATTTACAAACAGGAAGAGGAGTGTAGAGTAGGGTTCAATAATGTTTCTCAAGACCAACCACAAGGCTTCAGCTAAGGGGGAATAGCTCAAATAGTACAGCAAGGCACCAGCAGGGATAATAAACACACGCATCTAGAGTAAAATGTCAAATTTTCTCAACTAAATTCTGCTTGGCAACCCAGACTGGAGGAAAAGAGGAAGTAAGTTGCTGTTTCATCAAAGACAGTAGAAATACTTGGGTTTGACCCTAAGGAGCCCCATTTTGTGTCTCCTCAACCCCATGGTGAGGAGCAAGATTGGCTCATGCCTGCCCACATATAGCATCCATTCATCACCCACTAATGGCTGAACCAGAAGAAACAGACTTTCCTCAAGTTAAGGGTTCTAGCTAGCTATGCAAAGCTATTTGCATCTTGGATTTTTCCTTCTAGACTAAGTACCATGAGAGTAGAAACCAAGTCTTTTACCCTCTTTAAAGCCCCCACAGTACTCAATACAGATGTCCTATGAGAGAGAAGAGTGCAGGCCACTGGGCCGCCACCCCTGAAGTCAGAGTAGGGGCATGCTATCCAAGCGCTCCATCTCCTGCCTTCTACCCCAGAAAGTCTGCACACTCATCAGAACAGGAACACAACAGAGCCAGCTGCAGTACGTGAATTTTTTTATTCTTCATAAAGTGCTGAAAACATGAAGAACAAGCTCTTTATAAACAGTAGTTACAACTAGGAAGACAAACAGCAAAGCAGAACTGTGCCTGCTCCCTGCCCGTCCCACCTGCAGCTCTCCTCTGACTTGTGGCCAGGAGCAACAACATCCAGCAAGAACCTTGGGCTGCAACTCAAAATTCTTCTGAAACCATCCCTGCCCCAGGCATTTTGGAGGCCACAATCAACAGTAAGTGGAAGGTCAGAGTCAGGGCTGGGACTGCATAGAACCCAGGGGAATACCTAGCTGAGGATCGAGCCCTCTCTCCCAAGAGAGACCCCACTCCAACTCCCAATTACTACCCCCACCCAAATGTGACCAAAATTCTAGATATCTGTGAACACTTTGTTTTGATGAATGGTCCTTAAGGTAGGTAACATTACTGGGACTCACCCCACATGAGGAGCTGTGTTGCATCACCCTGGCAGAGGACATCACCCACCGTGCATTTCTTCCCAAGGCTTTCTGAGAGATCCCACAGTCCTCTCAGGGATCTGAGAGATCCCTGAGTCCTACAGGACTCAGGACTCTTCACTGGGCCAAAAGTATCTACTTTAACACCTCACCCCACACATCGTTTGCTAAGGCAGGATGCCCCAAGCCTCTAAGGGTACCCTGCAGATGCCAAGGGGAAGCCTGCTGCATTTTCTGCAAGCAAACAGGGGTAGGGCCAAAGGATACTCTGTTTCAAAGGACAGACACTTTGTAGCCAAGCCAGATGAGGCCATGGGGCAAAAGGGACTGGCTGGAACAAGTAGCTTGTGGATAGATGAGACAAAGGGTTTTTTCCCATTTGTAGGCAGAGTGGGACCTCCTACTTCTAGAATGTAGTTTTTACCCCCAGCCCCTCCTCAATTAGGCTAGGAATCTGAAGAGGTCAGGGAGGCTGAGCGAACAGCAGCAGCATGGCCAGGGGAAGACACAGCACACAGTGGGGCTGCCTCCATCCTCCACTCCATCTGCTTCCATCCCCAAGACCCAGAGAGATCCAATCCCATGTGCTCCACAGGGAGGGAGGGGGCCACCAAACATGGGAAGAAGTCTTGATCCCATCGGCAAAAGGCACATTTTAATTGGTTTCCAAAGGTTCAAACCCTGTAGCAGCACAGAGTTTTGGCATCTGGACAGGCAACAAGAATGGAGATGGAGGCTTGATCCCAAAAACATAAGCAGCCCAAAGCCCTGAGGCCTGGAGGGGCCCACATGTGGGAGGTGGGTAAGGTGGGCCCCCCCCGCCCGCATACACACCTGTCTCTGCTTTCCACTCACTCTCTCTCACTCACACATGACACTTAATGGAAGGTAACACAAAATGGGCAGGGGGCCTCCTAGAGAACACACATCTACTCCATCCACAGCACACTCGCTCTGCAAACAGCTGGAGGAAAACAGAGTCAGGACACAGCAGAGAGGACACTAGCTCCTTGCTCTTGTGGGAAAAGAGGCTGAGTAGGTACCCTGGGTGCCCCTAACTCACAAATGGGCAGTTTGTATCTGCCACAGCCTCGGTAATAACACCAGGAGCCCCTAGAAGTGGAAGGAGATGACGAGGACAAGCATTTAGCCATGGAAGGCTGGCCATCTTTGTGGGGGAATAACATAGGTCCCAGATACCACATCGAATTGCAGCTCACCCCTGTCTGGTCTTGAGCAAATTCTTTGCTCCAATTTCCCGGAGCCTGAAAGCTAAGGGGTATGAAAACAGGCAGGTGGAAAAGACCCAGAGCTCCCAAAGACACACAAGTTGTACATGGAACCTGATGCCTCAGATGGGAGTGCAGAGCCTCCCCTTCCATCCAGCAGCCCCGGGTTGGGGGGGTGGGCAGGAGGGAGGGGGAGGACACGGAACGGAGGACAGACCGCACTCTGCCCCTCGTGAGTGAGTTCAGTGGGATGCTGCGGAGGGTGTGACCCTGTTTGGACAGCGGGTTCACATCAACCCTTCTAAGAGTGGGGGTGCAGAGGGAGGGCTACTTGGGGGACTCAGGGGGGATTTGCAGCAGTGTGGGTGAGGTCTCCATGATCCGCACCAGCAGCCGGTCGATATAGCTCTCCAGCTCCTGCACGTGCTCTTCCCTCTGGCTCAGCTCCCGCTCCCGCTGCAGGAGCAGGCAGATGAGCTCGTCGTGCGTCAGGTGGTAGTACTTGGCTGACTGGTCCAGCACACCCGAGTCCTGGGCCAAAGGGAATGAGAGTGAGAAGGCAGCCTCAGGCCCGCCTGCCCACCGGCCCACCAACACCCTAGATTTGCCACCACAGATAGGCCCCTGGAGCTGCCTCTGTCTCTGATGCCAGCTCAGGGCTCTGGCAGGGGGACCAGGTCTGCTCCTTGCCTGCCCTGTCCAGCACCCTGCTCCTGAGCTCCAGATGCCTGTCCTCTCTCTCCACAGCAACACCTCTGGCGTGGTGCTCCTGCCGGGCCTCACCTTCAGCCTCTTGGTGTCCACAGTATGGCCAACCTGGGGAGCCGGAGTCACAGGCTGAACACTGCCAGATGTGACCGTCTTGAGCTTCTCCAGCCCACTGCTCAGGGCTGTGCTCAGACTAGAGCGGGACGGCTTCCTGTCGGGGCTGCCCTCCACGGGGGCAGTGCTGAGGGGCTTCACAGGGTGCGGGCTGCAAAGACAGACAGGTGGTGCATTATGGGAGGGGTGGGTGGCACAAGGAAAAGGCAGGCCCGCCTTCTCTGAGGAGTCTCCAGCCTCCGGCACTTGGAATAGTTTGGGTCCTCAGGAGCCTTTCTCTCCCCCACCCTCACCATTGTCCTCATTCCTCTCCCGGCCACTGCTCCCTCCACTCCACTCCCTCAGATGACCACGCCCCTTACAGGAGCAGCAGAGATCACCCTACAAAACTTCCTTGGACCTACAGCCAGTCTTCGCCAGGGCCACGCGCCATCCATCTTCCCTCCCTGCTCTTCTACACTGCAGCCCTCCCAGTCTCCCCGTTTTCCTGGGGATTCCTGGGAGGTGGGACTTTTGGTGTAAAACCGGGAAGGACCTGGGCATCATGAGAAGCTTGGTCGCCTCCTTCTCCCTACTGGTTGCTTCCACCAGCGTGGACAGCAGCTGGGAAACTTCAGTCAACCTTGTCTTCTCCTAGCCATGCCCCACCTGCTTCCTTCCCGCTCAGCCTCTCCAGAGCGTGTGGACTATATTCTCTCTCTGTAAACTCTTACCTGTTGTTGACCCCTCAACTCACTAGAATAGGACATGGCCCCCACCAGCCCACCTTGCTGAGGCCACCAAGACCTGGGCTCTACCTCCGGGACCTCTCCACAGCGTGGACACTGGGACGCTCCTTGCTCTAAGCTGCTCTTCTTCCTGTCTCCCCCCTGGCCTGGCTGGTTTTCCTACCTCTGACAGCCCCTTCTCGGTCTTAACTGCTTGGTCTGCTTGGGTTCTCTCCCCTGCAACTCCTTGGCTCCTACCACCCCCTTCTCCATCTCATGCCAGACCCCACCCCTGAGCTTCAGGCCCATGGAGATAACTGCAGAGTGACTCCACTTGGGGTCTGCCCCCAGGTATGTCGCACGCCCCTTCCTTTGGTCCCCAGCAAGGACGGGCACCCTCAAGCTGCTGTGGTTTCAGTGAGAAACCTGGCAGCCCCTTCTCCCCCTTCCCCTTCAGTCGTAACAAACACCAAGCCCTGCTTCCCCCAAACCATCCCCTCTGCCTCAAGCCAGTGCAGCTAAATCTTCCGTCCTTGCCACAACCGCTAAATCATCTCCTCCGGGGGAGCCCTGCCCTGCTCCACCTGAGCCTGCATGGATGATACTGTTGCACCTTTCCACATCCTCATCGCTCACCTCAAGCCAGCTCCCCTTAGGGTAAGAACACAACCTCTACCACCATCTGCTCCTGCCCTTTCCTCCCGGGCCTCTACTCCCCTCTACGTCTCTGCCGGGGAAACGCACTCTGCCTTAAGCCTCTTACAAAAGCTATTCCTCTATCTGAAACATCACTCCTTCCCCTGCCAGCCTGCTAACTCCTGCTCCCGTTTAAAAGCTGGGCACAGCTACTTCTTCCAGAAACCTTTCCAGATTCCCCAGGCTGACTAAGGATCCCCAGCACCTATGACAGGTACCCAAACTAACAGAAGCAGGCCCCCAAACCAACTAACCTGCCCTTAGGGGACCTCTTAAAATTTATGCTTACTTAACAGCAAGAAAAAAAGGCAAAATGGCTTAGCCCAAGGCCCTGAGCCCCACTGGAGGAGGGACCAGACCCCCAAAAGCCAGCTTTGTTCACCCAGATTCAGGCTGTGATTCAGTCCCAAAACCAAAAGAGCAGCAGAGAGCACAGCCCGGAGCAGACAGTAGGGGAAGGAATACTCTCCGTCCTTTCTTCCCACCAGGGAGCCTGCAATAGGGTTGGGGGTGGAAAAGCAGCTCTGACGCCACCTGCAGGTTGTGCTGCTGGAGGAGGAACCACCTAAATGGGGGCCTGGAGTTCTGGGCTCCTGGTCTGATTGCCCCTTACTTCTGAGGGAATCTGGACCCTGCAGCTCTCATGGACTCTGTTTCCTCGTCTGAGAAGTGGGGATACCTCTATTTGGTTTATTCACTTCATGATGGAAAAACACGCTAAGTATAGATACTGAATACTCCTCAACAGCTGCAAGTGCAACAGAGGGGCACTGCAACACAGCAGGGCCAGGAAGGTGGTGCCATCACAGAACACTGTCAGCACCTCCTCCCCTCCTGAAACAGCATCACCCACCACTGCAACAGCAGCAGGGGCAGCCTCGATTCCTCCCCACCCACTTCTCTAATGTCAGCCTGGCTGCCTATGGCTTCTCTTTATGGGTTCACTTCTGACTTCCCCAGGAATACAGCAGAGGCAGTGTCTTTCATCTCTGTTCAGGATCTGACACACAGCGATGCTAAGTGAGCTCACATGACCAAATGTATGAGTCAGCGGGCTGGGGCCTCACAGAGGCCAGTGCTGGGGCCTATCCTGCCCCCCTCCCCGCCCCTCCCCAGTCCTGCTCAGCGGCCTCTTCTGCTCCCCCCATCTCTTCACTCAGGCCTCCAAGAGTGCTCAGGGTCCCTGCGGACCTTACTGCCCTGCTAAGTCACACCCCGTCACTCATAATCCGCCCCCTCCATGACCTATGTCTTCAGACCTCTGTTCTAGAGAGACACCTGGTGAAATCATGGCCTCATAATCCTCCCAGAACAGACCAAGAGCAGTGCAGAGCCACACAAGTCTCTACTGTCCACTCAGCATAGTCCTCAGTGTGCTTCCGGGCCCTCCCTGAAAAGGCACAAACCCAAACTGAGGAGGCATTTGTCAGGCGAGACACTTTCTTCCGTGGGAAAGCATTGTCATCTTTCATTCTGCCCTCTGGCTTTCCTCTGTGACCTCAGTTTCAGTCCCTCTGCCTCTCTGACTTCACAGCCTGCTCCACACACCTCTCTAGACAGGACAGCACGCTCAAGGGCTCCATTTCCAGCAGACAAACTTCACTGCCCCAGCTCCCAGGAACTGCCAGAGCACTCAGCCCCCTTCCCTAGCCCCTTGCTCCCCTCCCCATTCCTCACCCTCTACACAACTCGTCAGTACCACCCCCAACCCCCTAGCTTGTGGAGTACCCAGCTTATCCAAGGTTCCGAGAAGGCACTTTCAGAGCTGGTACCACCCACAGAAGGTTGGGGTCTTCAAAGCCTTCATCAACCTGTCTCCTGGTAAAGAGTCCCTCCCCACCACTGGAGAGGCTGAGGCTGAAATGTGAACACTGGGGGCCTCGGGCTGCTTCCCCCCCTCTGCCCCCTTCCTCCTGGAGGGTATTCTCGGGAAGGCCGCTCACCTGGCACTGGGCTGTGACTCCTCAGCTGGTCGTGTCTCCAAGGGCAGAAGCACAAGCAGGGAGGCTGGGGTGGCTGCAGCGCGGTCTTCCCCGAGTGGGGCAGGGGAGCCCTCAGGGGGGGAGGCTGGCTCCCCAGGGGGTGGGGAAGAAGAGGTCAGGGGCCAGGCTCCAGGCAGGGGAGAGCACAGAGGGCTGGGCCCCCCATGGCGGTGGCTGGCCCAGGGTGGGAGAGGGGGCGGTGGGAAGGCAGGTTCTGGGGGCGTGGGCAGCTCTTCTGGACCAGAGTGGATGGAAGATTCCCTGGACCCTGGAGGGGATGTGGATGGGAGGCTGGGGGGATCCTGTCTCCCTTGAGATAAGAAGGGGTTTAAGGCATCCCCGTCAGAGGCCCACAAGTGAGCCTGTTGGTTGCTGCCTGACAGGTGTCCAAGCCCCTCTCCTACTGGTCCCTGGGCCTGGGTCTCAGGAGTCTCAGAGCTGTCCCCTCTCTCCTGAACCCCCGAGGTCTGCTGACTCTGAAGAGCCAAGCTATTTGAGTAACTGGGGATAGGGGCAGGGCCCTCTGGGCAACTGGTGGACAGAGATAGGCAGGACCCAGACATAGGAGGACTGGCATCCTCCACTAGATCTTCCGGGCCTGGCTCAGCCAGCAGGGTTCCAGAAGAAGGGCTGTCAGACTCTGACCCGGGCTTCTCACCCTCCTCCTTGGCCTCCTGGGGACCAGCAACCAGAGCACTTGGGAAGGCGTTTTCTGCGCCTGTCTCTGTGCCCCTGCTACTCAGCCCCCCTGTAGCCTTCTCCTCCTCCTCCTCTTCCTCCTTGGAATCCGGGGGTGTGAAGAGGCGCGGTGGCTTGGGAGGTGGACTGCTGGGCAGCAGCCCCTTGTCCAACACCCGCTCAGATTGGGGTTCTGGCTCCAGCTCCAGTGCGGAGAGCCCGTCACTCCCCTTGGGGCTCACAGGTTCTGGTGACTCTGGCTGCACTTGGGGAGGAGGCAGTTCATCAGACTCTCCCCGCAGGACTAGTGCAGACGTCTCAGCTGCAGGAGAAATGGTGACCACATCCCAAGGCCAGGAATCCTCCGTCGTATTGTGCTCGTGGAACAGCTGGCTTTTGCCGCAGGAGACCTCCTCATCCTGGCCCTCAGGGGCGTCGTCGGGGCCAGGAAGCCTCTCCCACACACTGATCACTTCTGGGGAGCTAAACAGAGATGTAGCACTGTTTGCTGGACTCTGCCCTGCGTCCCCTCCTGGGGCCAGTGGCTCCCTGTCTGCTTCAGAGTCTGAGGCTCTCTGGTGCAGCGGGTCTGACGTGGAAGGCAGGCTGGCCCCTCCCGACCCGAGGGGCCCTGGGTCAGCTGTACTCGTGCTCTGGCGGTCCAGTCCCAAGTCCAGAGGCAGCCTGGGCTCCAGCCATACGCTGCTCCCACCTCTTCCTCCGCCCCCAAGGTCCCCCTGGGGCTCAGCTGCCTTCTCTGCCATGGCCCTGGGGCCTGGGTCGTGCAGCCCAGTCACCTCCAGCCCCACTTCTGCAGGGGCCAGGATTTCGTTCCTGGCCTCTGGACACAGCCTGCTGGCAGCAAAAACGTTGAAGGTGTCGTCCCACTCAGGCAGGGCCTTCCCAGAGGAGGCCAGGGGGGTGGGGCTGGCCCTCGAGGCACTGGGGAGAGAGGGAGCAGGTGAAGGAGAGTTTAGTGCTATGTCGGCTATGAGTTCCTCGAAGAAAGGGTTGTTCTGCAAGGAGGTGAGGAATGGGTTGGTGAGACCCAAAAATCCAGCTGGGGTGGCTTCTGGGGCAGCTGTGGCGGCGGCGGCAGCAGTGGCAGCAGCGGGGGAGGCGGCTGCAAAAAGGTTAGTGCTTAGCATGGGAGCAGCGGTGGGAGCAGGAGTGGGGGGGGCCGGAGCACAGGGGGAGCAGGGGAGGTGGTGAGGAAGAGCAGCTGGGTCAGATTCTACCTGAGGAGACACGTCCAGGCTGTGGAGGGAGACAAAACCGTGAGCCTCCTGGTTAATGCCAAGACTGGAAACGCCTGCTTAATACCACGCCCCCGACCCCACCCCGCACCCCACCTGCCTGAGGATGAGATGTCACCATGCCACAAAGGCTGGGTTCAGCCATGTGGGACACCCCAACATGTAATACAATTAGGCACCACCAAGGAGATGTTGGACACAGCTCATCTGATCCTCACACCAATCCCGAAGAACAATAATCCCATTTTATAGGCAGGATCCAAACCAAGTTTTCTTTGCACCACCCCATCTAAGATTCTACTCCACCCCAGACTTACACCTGAAGAACCAGGCATAGAATCAGAAAGTGCCTCACACTCCTTTAAGGACTGAGGGTAAGAAAATACCAGCTGGCTTAGAGGGGATACAGAAAGGAGAGCAAGGTCTTCAGCTGGACAGTCAGCACTAATAAATCCAGCAGGGTGGCTGCATTCTGACTCCTGACACCGGCTGGATTCTACTGGCCCCTGCAGAAACAGAAGGCAGTGCCGGGGCTATCATCCAGCAGGACAAGGTGCTAATCAAAGAAAACTTTCCCTTTGTTTCTTGAGGGGTGGCACAGGCACCCAAGGAGCACACAAGACACTGCTGAGGATGCCTGCTATCAGGTGCTCTCACAACCTGGCACCCAACAGGTGGTGCCCCTGCCCACCGGCCAGCTTGACAGCAACCCTGAAGAGGGGATAAAGGCTAGAATGGGGCAGCAGGGGTAGAGTAGAACTCAGGATGTCACCAGGGGTTTCCCAGGATTTCTCACACAGATCCCTGACTTCTGGGGGAAATGTGCTCCATGAACATACATTCCCAAAGGACACTGGACAATGCTTTGCTGGCCTTCCGGCGTTCCCTCAGGCGGGTCGCTCTCTCTTGCACTTCCTATACAGAGCGGCCAACTTCAGGGATGTGGACAGAAACAGAGTTCAGAACTGGGGCTCTTGGCTTCCCTAGGACACCAGTGGGGCACAGAGAAAAGGCTAGAAAGACACTGCAGGAAAAAGCGGTGCCCACCACCCCAGTCTGGCAGTGGCACAGTAATTTGTGGCTACCTTGTCAGACCCAGACCTCAGTGTCCTCCGTGTTATCTGAGCCCCATCTCCCAGCCCCACCTCCTCTGAACTCCCATGACCCCCATTCCTTGCATCTTGTCTGTCCAGGTGGAAATATCCTGGGGAACACCTACATATCCATCTTATCCACTCAAGCAGCTTCTTCCCATGGGGAACAGCTAAGGACAAGCCCTGAAGTGGCAGAAGCCAGAATTTACCAGTCAGTCCTTGAGAAATGCAGGCTGGAGTTGAGGGCATCTATGGAAATGGGCTGACAAGTCTGGAGCTCACCAGGATTCTTCCAGAACCAGGGCCAGACAGAGCAGGCACCACACAAAGCTGGGCAGAGTCAGGGCCAGCTCTCCACAAACAATGGGGACAGCCAATGGGAAGGAGTCCAGTGCAACGAGAAGCAAAGGGGGCTTCCCCAGATAGCCTCATAGACAAGGTAAAGCCAACTCTCAGACTCTGGGGTTTCTCTTCAGAATCCAGAATCCAGCTACCAGAAGCTCTCCAGACCCTAATTTTGCCCTATAATAATACCACAGTCCCACAGCACCTCAGAGAGATGGAGGGAGGGCAAGTCCCACTCACTCCCACCCCAGCTCTTGCCTCTATGGTGAAGATACTAAAAGAGGGAGAATCCTGAGCCTACAGTCCCAACAACACCACACATTCCTTCTCCCTACATCCCAGACTGGCCCTTGAATCAAGGCCCCATGGCGGCCCTGGGGACTGAGGACAGAAATGTACGAGAGCAAGACTCTGCCCTCAGCCCTCCCTCCACTGGAGCACCCCTGCGCAGGATGAGTGGCCAGAGGGGTCTGAGGGAAGAGAGCGCCCTCAACAATGAACAGCACTGAGCCTAGCATTATACCTTCACTCTCCCAGCCCCGGTTAGCCCCACTCACCCTTGCAGACTTACAGCAATCTGGCCGTAGTCAGACTGCAGGACAGGAGAGCTGCAGGGAAGCAGGCTGGGTGGCACCCGCCATGGGCTCCCCAGAGGTACACACAAACCCGTTGGTATGGAACCGGCAAAGGGCTCTCCCTGGAGGAAGTGACTCCAGGTGCCAGGCCCAGCAGGCTCCCCAGAGTCAGCGGCACCACTAAGAACATCCTGTCCAGCCTTCCTACCCAGCAACACCCTAACCCTCCAACCTCCCTTGCCTTGCTCCTCACCAAGTACACACATGTCCTCATGCATGGTTGCCTTCGCAGGTTGGGCTCCGAGGGCAGAACCCAGTATGCCAACGTAATACAGTCATTCGCCTACCAACTGGTGGAGGAATCAACATACTGTCCTCTCTTTAAGACCAAAATTTGGAGACAGAAAACAAAAGCCCAAATGTCTCTGACCCTTCAACCTGAGGGAATAAAACTTTAGGGCCTATAGGGACCTTAGAACATTTGGTTGAACCTGCAACTTAATGCAGGAATCACCTGTTCACTCCAACCTCCCCCCTCCTTAAATACCACTGCTGCTGGGCGACTCACCACACTACCAACCACCTCTCAGGAACAGCTTCCTACCTTCATTCCTTCTCTGCCAGCCATTGCCTTGTCCAGTGGCAGCAGCCTTTTTTTCTGGATCTGCACCTAACACATACCACTTGGGCCTCTTTATGGAACGTCAGTGCCACCTGGGAGCACTAGAGGGCACTGCTGCCCTTCCTAGTGAGGAACAGCAGCCTCTGCAATTATAGCCCCAGGGTAGAGGCACCCCCATACCTGGACATGTCCCCCACTGGAGTCCCTGCAGCTACCTTTAGTCACTCCAGTTCCAGTTCCACTGTTTCCTGAAGTGAGTCAGCTCATCCCTCATTCTCTCCTCAACAGCCCTAAGCAAGCCCTCTGGGTAACTGACAGTTGTCACCTCCTCTCATCAAGGCACGCGTGGCCAGAGTGATGCTGACCAAGTTTAATGTCCAGCTTTCAGACCTCTCCAGGTCAGGCTGCTTTACCCAAAGAACAGTCCTGCCTGCCCTACCTGCCCAGCAGTCATCACGGCCCAGGGAAGGAAGCAATGCCCTGGGTACTCCCCATCCCCGAGCTGAGGACAAGCTCAGAATTCAAGCATGAGGACTAAAACCTCAGCTTCCTTACACCCATGAGTGACCAAACTTCTCCCAACTCCAAAAGGCCTTTAGGAGACACAGAGCAGCAGGAGAAGGGGAATGGAGGCAGCAGCAGGAGCAATGATACTCATGCAAGGCTGCAGAGGTCTAGACTAAAACCTGGGCTTGTGCCTATAAATGACCTCACAGAAATCCCACCAGAGTCACCAAAAAAAAAAAAAAAAAAAAAAAAAACCAAAAAAATAAAAAATAAATGACCTCACAGAAAGGTGTTTCTAAGCACTTGTTCTGCCCCATGAAAGGCCCAAGGACCTCCCACAGATGACAGTGCATGATCCGTGCTTCCCCCTGCAAGCACCTGTCCAAGTATCTGCCACCGCCCTCCATCCCATCTACAAATAACTGTGTCATCACCGGGCCCCCAAGCTCAGTGTGAGCATCTGAGAACGGCCCTTGGTCTCCTTTCCAATCACCTATGCCACAGGGGACTAGCAGTTCCCTCGGGTTCTGGGGCAGTAGGGGCAGAGGCTGCTACCAAGCAGGGGAGGCAAGACTTACCCAGAGACTGATCCAACCTACACGCCCAACTATAAGGTCGTACAGGAGTGCTGCCGGGGAGCCGGGGCCCACACCTTGAGAGTGCCTGCTCCTCCCACAGAATTGCACAGGGCAAGAGGAAAACCAGGACTTGGGGATTGGTCTCTTCTCTGCTGGAGAGTAGGTCTAGGGGCCTTCCCTCTACCCTTCACCACTTTACACAGCCTTCCCTCCCCACCTCCAGCCCATATATCCATCAGGGTGGGGTGGGAGTGTGCCGGTTCTGCAAGAGAACAGAAACAGCTCTTGCCACACCGGTCAGGGATGCCACAGATGCTTCCATCCAGGGCTAGCCCCAGGCCCCTGGGAAGGGGAATACGTGGCCTTATAGTCTCTGCCTAGAGCCCCACCCTGGGCCCTGCTGGACAATGTAGCAACTTCCACTGGCTCAGAGTCAGGAGAAAGCAAAAGAGCCTGGGACTTTGCCCAGGGCCTGAGCTGAAGGAATCCTGCATCCCTCTACTGGGTGAGACTCGGCACACTGAAAACAGCAGCCTTCATCAGCACTTGCCACACCAGGCCGGGGGAGCAACTGGGCATAGAGGGACGAGATCAGAGTGGGTAGGGAAAGTATGTGGGTACAGTCCCCAGTCCCTTCTGTCTACCTGCCAAGGCTTCCTTACCTTGAGGCCAGAGGGCAAGAAGAGCAGGTTAGGAAGCAAAGAATTCACACAAATGGCCTTGCCTGCTTTTCTCCTATTCCTTCCCTCCCTGGGGTGGGGGGTGGTGCCAACTCCTGGGGCCCTGGAGCACAGCGCCTTTGCAACTCACCTGTGTCTGTGTGCTGCCGACAAGCCTTGGCTTAGGGAGAGCCCAGCTCAACCATGCAAAGCCAGAGCCCCAGCAGCTACCCGAGGGCCACATCTGCTCCATCCTCCCTGCCCCAGGGTCCAGGCTGCAAACACCTAGCATCCTCCCCAAGGAGCAAAGCTGGTTTTGCCAAGGACCTACCTGGGTTTCTGAGTTGGTTCCTTAGCTTCTCTCAAGCCAAACCAGCTACTCTTGGACTTTTCCTCCCCGCTGGATGAGTGGTGGGGGGAGGCCCCTAGGGTGGGACCCCCTCTCTCCCCCAGAGAGCTGCGACGCCCCAACTCACTCCGACCCAGCCCCTGGTGGTGATGGTGGAATAGGCCCATCCGGGGCTTCCGCTCCTCTTTCCGGGCTCCCTCCTTCTCTGCCAAGGCTTCAGCAGAGGCCACCATGGGTGTGGCGACCTGCATGGGCTTCCCCTCCAGATGCCGGGCCCCCTCCTCCTCTCCAGAGCGGCCAGCCCCTGCAGCCTGATTGCTCGGCTCCTCCTGTCCAGGGGCCACCTCTGAGCTGCTGGTGCTACGGCTGCCTCTGCCCCAGGAGTCATCTGCAGACCTGGGCCCCTCCTCAGAGGCCCGGGAAGAGGTACTATGCAGGGAGCTGGAGGGTGGAAAAGGGCCCGAGATGGAGCTGCGGTGCCGCAAGGGGCCCTGGGGCTCCTCGTTGTAAATATGGCTCCCATTGACACAGAGAGAAGAGCGAGAGGCCACATCCAGGTGGCCCTGAAGGTCAAGGAGGGCCCGGGGAGGAGCCGCTCTCATCTGGCTGGCCTCGTCACTGTATGTCCTTTTGTGCGTGAGCAATTTGGGGGACTGTGTTGAGTCCCTACCTGAAAGGGAAGCACATGTAGAGTTAGCGCCTGGCAGAAAAGCCCTGCTTCCTGGCCCCAGGCCTTCCCTGCTAACTTGAGGAGAGAGCCCATCGCCCTCTGCCCTCCCTGGGGGGAGGCTCACTTACCCGCTTCAGTGGACAGCCAGCTGGTGCGGCTGGGAGAGCGGGTGAGGAGTTCAGCACCAGGCCCCTGGTAGGCCAGGCTCCCACTGGCTGAGGACAGGGTGCTGTCGGAGCCCAGCGAAGTGTTGGACTGGGTAAGGGATGACTTGCGCAGCTTGTTTCGGAGGAAGAAGCCTTTGGCTTTGCCCATCTTGCCCAGGCTGCCCAGATCGGGATCCTCCAGGGCACTGCTTGGAAGGATGGCAGAGGCAGATTCTAGCTCGTACTTCTTCTTGCCCTTCATCTTGTCCTTGATCTTGCTGAAGGGGGACCGCGGCTTGTCCTTCATGGACAGGTCAAACATGCTGGCGCTCAAGTTGTTGCGTGTGAACTGGATGGTGACTTGGATCTCCCCGCGCTCCTTCTCCTTCTTGCCGGCCTTAGAGTGTAGCTTGTACCACCTGTGCCGAGGGGAAGGGGAAGAGGGCCAAGCTGTGGTCACAGGTACAGGGAGCCTGGCTCTCAATCCCCTCCCTGTTTTGGTGGCCCACCACAGTCTCTCCTGGCTCCTGTTCTGACACACAGGCCCTGCCTTCCAGGCATAGCTGAGCGACAGTACACAACTTTTTCATGAAGGCTTAGAAAACCACATCCTGAGTAGGGGAAGCTCCTCCATGCTATGGGACAGAGCAGCAGTTAACATGCCCTGCTCACCCTCTGGAGGGTCCTAGCACCATCCTGGAGCTCAGAGACCCTCCTTTCTCCCCCATGGGGAGAGAAACTCTGAGAGAAACTTCTGAAACTCTGAGGCCCAAAAGGGCCAGCTGGGGTCTGGGAGGGACCCTTGTATCTCCAGGGCCTCATACAGACTGACCTACCCACATTTTCCCCTGTTTACATCATCTCCGGTCAGTAGCAGCCAAAGTTCTGCTCTAAGCCACCAGCGAGCCCAGGAAAGAACAGCTCACCCAGAGGCCCAGGGCCAGGAATACAAATGTACATATACACACACAAATCGCTCATCCACTGGCTGACTCACCCCAAGTCCTGCCAGGAACACCTCTGCAAGATGGAGGAACAGACAAGAATGGCACATGGGGACCTTAAGCCAGAGACGCAGGGAAGGGAGCCAGCACAGCAGAGTGCAGGTCCTCTCAGCTCACTCCCACGTACACTGCACAAGTCTGTGAGGTCGGAGACACTACCCTAATTTTATAGATGAGGACGTTGAGGGTCAGAGGCAAAGTCATTCATCCAAGAACAAGCTGCCAGGAAGGAGAGGGGAGACTCAAGGGGCAGATTCTCATCACTCCAAAGCTCACGACCTTCCTACTACACTCTTAGAAAGGCCCCTAACACACAGGCCTAAGGGCCCCCTGGGCTGGGGCGGTGTGTGGAGCTTCCCCTACACGGGAGGGTTGTGCAGGGAGATCCTCCTTTCTCTGCTTCCCCCAACACCCCGGGAGACTCCTGGAGAAGGCCTGAGAAGGGCGGATTCTGCCTGGCTGGTCTCATCATACAGCACCATATGGAGCAGCTGGATACCTCCCCTCCCACTTCCTCTACCACGCACATCCCTCCCCAGCTCCTACAGGTGTGAGCAGAAACCAGAAAGGTTTTGGGCGAGGGACACCAGGCCCAAATGATGGAACCAGGTCGGGGGCTGGAAACAGAAGACACTGAAAATCAGTCCCTTTCTCACACTAGCAGTCAGAATCCAGAACCTCCCCAGCATGTAAGAGCTGAAATAAAATATTCAAAGGACATCAAAGGAAATGTCCCAGAAAGCAGGACAATGATGATGCAATTATTAGAAGCAATACAAGGAGGTTCACCTTAAATAACTGGGGAGTTAAAAAAGAAAGCAGACTGCTCCTGTGTGTGAGGGGCTTGGGTGCCATTTCTCCCAAACACAAAACAAGAAAACAGCGAAGCAAACTGAAAATCACCCCCTCACTGGGGATTTTTAGAACAGTGAAATGATTCTGTATGATACTATAATGATAGATAATCTTGCAAGTGAATAAAAAAAAAAGAAGCCCTAACATAACTACAGACTCTAATAATAATGTATCAACACTGATTCATCAATTGCAACAAATGTACCGCACTAGTAAGATGCTATAATAAAGGAAACTGGGTGGGGGCATGGGAGGCTGTTAGAGAGTATTTGAGACCTCTCTGTACTTCTCACTCACTTATCCATAAACCCCCCCAAAAAAATAAACTAAAAAAAAAACCAAAACTATTAATTTTAAAAAGGTGAGTGCTAGCATGAAGAAGAAACCTTGAAAGAAATCATACAAGAAAGTTTTTCTAAGGACAGAGCACCAGCACCACTGGGCCCACAAGCACGCAGCATGAAGAACAAAGACAAGGTGTTGCCGTGAGCTTGAGTTATACAGAGGAGACTCCAAAGGCTCCCAAGCGGAGACGGTGGGTGCCCTCTCCCTCCTCCACCACCACTGGCTCCTCATCTACCACTCCTAGTGCTGCTCCTGGGCTTGTGGGGACCTGGCACCTCTTTTGTGAAGCTGAGAAGATGCCAATTCACAATGGCTGATGAAAAACCCAAGAAAGGAGTTGAGACTGAGAACAATGAACATTAATTTGAAGGTGGCCGGTCAGGATGTGCTGTGGTACATGGAGAGGACTCACCACGTAGTGAACTAATGAAAGCCTACTGTGAGCAACAGGCTTACCAGTGAGGCAGACCAGCCAATCAGTGACACAGATGCACCACACAGCTGGCAGTGGAGGGTAAGGCAGAGTCAATGTGTTCCCACAACAGACAGAGGGAGCACTGTACCCCAGGACTCTCCTCCAGGACGGGAAGACATTCTCAATTAGAAAACCACAATCCAGTCCTACCAGAGCTTGACAACCACAGTATAGTTTTCTTTACTTTCATTCCCCCTTGCCCTTTCCTTTACTGTACACAGAGTAACTGGTTACGAGCACGAGCATACTGCACTTTTTAAAATGAAAAGTACAGTGGTATGTTTTGATCAATGTCCAATGGCGATGAGATGGGGGAAAGTATTGGTACTGTGAAAACAAGCCCTTTCTCCATGAGTGGCATTCATTCAGCTCTTATCTTTTATTCTGGTAAGTTATTTTGCTCTCAATGTTTAACCAAAGGGGGTGGGGGGCATTAAAAATTCTTGCATATCTTCTTTGATAGGGGAATTTTAATGTTTTTCATTTATTTTTGTAAAACCAAGGACAATTTTATAAGTTTTTGTACATAGCTGTTAGATATAGGGCAATCTGCCTTAAAGCAGGGATAAATTACTCTTAAAAAAATGAATCCTAGATAGTTTTCCCTTCAAGTCAAGCATCCTGTTACTTAAATAAACTTCTTGTTTAAAATGAAAAATAAAAAGGGTGAAGGACAGGCTCATACCCTTGGGAGCCAGAATAGTGTCAGGTCCTCATTAAGCAACACTGGGCACCACAGGGAGGCATGCCTTCAGCATTCTGAGGGAAAAGTTTTGCAGCCAGTCAATCACGCATGAAGGAGCAATGAAGCTTGGTGGAGATGGTCAGATTGGTCCCTGAAAGGCTCAAAGTCCCTCCATGCAGAAACATACCACACAACATACACACCCCACACTAACTGCACACATATACCCCTACACACCACACACCATGTGTCTCAGTCAGCACCATGACCATCAGCTCCCACCTGAATCTGCATGCCCCATAGCACCAGGTCCCAGAGAGTCACATGGACACAAAGGGGTTGGCATTGGGGGATCTTTTGTATTAGAAGTTCTGATACATTGAAAAGATCAGAATTAAGTAATTTCAAGGGCTTGGACAAAGTGGTCATTTTGGGTATTGTTTTTAAGGCTGAAACTTATTTACAAGTCTTCTCTCTCAGGGGCATCACTCTGGAGGAGTCCACCATGATAACACCCTTATGTGTTTGTCATGGGCGATGGGCCTGGCCTCTCTTTGGTGACCTACTTGATTGCCTGAGCAGAGGGAGGCTGGCCTATTGGTTTCCCCTTCAAAGCCAGGAGATCATCCCTGAGAAGGCTGGATCAGGACAAATGACAGCCCAAGCAGGGCAGGTGAGACTCAGAGGATATGTGCACATGTCTGTTCTCTTATAATAAGCAGGGCAAGATGGTAAAACTTGTGAGGCAGGATGTAAGGGAAAAGAAAGCTAAGAGACCACAAAGTTGTGTGTGAGGATGTATCTGGGGGCAAGAGGGAATGTTTAACAGAAAGACGAACAAGCTAGAATCAAACTCCTGACACTCCTGCTTTTAACTCTTTAAAGGTCAAGCCCTAGTCACTTTCCCCAAACCTGGACTAGGCCCCATTTCGCACAGGAAGATCCCGGGAGGTGGGGCAAAAGACAAGTGTATGGGCTCTGACCCTAAATCCGCTGAGCCCTGAATAACGGCAATCTGCAAGCACAGATATCCTCTGCTGGGGCATAAAGTGCAGGGCCCCAATGTGGCTGGTCACATTCCACACATCACAGCACCAACCGCAGTTATCTGTGCGGGGTGAGGCTGCAGGGAGCTATCACTTCCTATGCTGTCTATCTTTTTCCTGTTTGAATTTTTTATAAGGAGCATATATTACTGCTGTAATGGGAAAAAGACAAAAGACAACACCCTCTCCTATCTTATCTACTCAGCTGCCTGGGCATGCAGCAGGCCAGGGTGGCTCACTGTAGCCCAAGGAACTTTAAGGCACAAGCTGAGGCCTGACCGGCCATCCATCCAGTCACAGTCACCACATCCACTCACCACAGTAAGTCAGGATTCAACCAAGGCCCCAGCATGCATCCAGGGGACAGCTCATAAGACAGAGCCCTCATCTCCATAACAATATGGCTACGGTGCCCAGATTGGCCATCATCTATGCAAGACTTACTTGATACACATGTATACCAGACTCCACCTAAGCCCTGCTGAATTAGAAGGGCCAAGTCTGGAAGTCTGCATATTTTGAAGTGGCGAGGGCTCCCTCTTCAAGTGACACCATACATCATGAGAGAGCCGCGATGGGATGGATCCCCTGCCTGCTCTCCATCACTTGGCGGGTCAGAGACCAGCTTTCCCGCCACCTGGGTCTATCCTCAAAGACACTCAAGTGGTAGCAGAAAAAGCCTGTGTCTCTCCCCTGCCTCGCTGAGGCTTGCCTTCCAAAGTCCAAGGGCAGGCACCATTAAGTGCTTTCTATAAAGCATGAACATGAACAAGGCCTTCTTTCCATGAGACCCTTCGGAAATGGCACTCCCACTGAGACAGGAGGAAGGACTGTGATTCTGGCCCTGGTACAATTTCCCTGACACCCACCCAGTTCTCAAATCATTGTTCCTCCACCCCAAAGCCAATAAATCACCATCCTCCTCCTCTCATACTGTCTGGGCATCTGAACTCTCCGAGGCCCAGGAAGCATATATTCAGGAGATGAGGATATGACAAAGATGGTCATT